CAATATCTTCTTGTTTCCTTCTTTATCCCCGCTATCTATTGTGTAGTAGTAGCTCTAGGTATCCCTTCTCCAGATACCGTATCAACATCAAGTATAGCACACTGTTCCCAGCCCTCTGATCCCCCGTAGAAGCACAAAGCAGAGCGCTCCGGCGAAGTGCGGTTGTAGCAGATCGGCTTCGGCAGTGCTATTAGTTCCCGAGTAATCCGGATGTAGATGATGCCCTTGTCGCGGGCGGTTCGGGATGCAACTATTGCAACGCCACATATACTCTTTAGGCGGGTTCATGTGACAAACATCTGCTTGTTGTTCGATTCTGGATGAAGAATGCTACGCCAACAGGTAATGTAGAGCATTTGTCGCTTCTCCCTCCGCCTCCCCAGCCATTGTCAGAGTCAGCTTGTGCCTAACATGATGACCTCCCATTTAGAAACCGGCAGTTCATGAAGCTAATAGCAGATACAGGACATATTCACTTAACATATACAAAGAAGATTATGTTCCTGCTATGGACAGGTAGTCTAATATGTAGGCTATTTGGTGGTACTCAATATTACCAACACACCTGTTTAGAACTAATCTGACACTTGCAATAGCAGCCGATATAGTTATGTGCTAAGAGAGCACCGCTCCTGAAAGGTAAATCAATTATGGACTATCTACTAACCTGAGTGATAATATTGCTTGCTATAGACATTGCCAAAAGGAGTATTACCATCCCTAACAGAAATGATATCGGCCAAAATTCACGTCCAGTCCTCCTTTCTCAATTATTTGATATTTTCTTGCTCATCCCCAATCGTCCTATTATTGCTATGTTTGGTTCAATATAGCAAATATGCAACCATCAGCCATGCCGCCAACCTCTCTTTGGGCGATACCTTGGGCTTTCACTTATCAAATCGGTATGAGTGTTAGCCATCTCTTTCTTCGTGCAACCCCATGATAATGTACTTCCACTATCACATCTTTCATTATATTCATCCCATAGCTATGTTAAAATTGGTGATGTTCCTCTATGTATTAGTACTAGGTTGGCCATGTTGAAAGCACATGTTTTCTCTCCACATACAATTAGCAAAGCCTTGTCCACATGGTGGCAGAGTTTGCTTTTACCTCAGCTTTCATATATGAAAAAGGCTACATACATATATGTGAAAGAGCTACACCCATGCTACATAGAGGCGAGTTACGGAGTGTCTTTCTTGGTTTCTGAGGCGCATGTCCCAGCTCACTGGCAGGCCAGCTCATCAGCTAAAGAAGCTCACCTATTAATACAAATAGCCCTAGGACTTATGCCATCTTTCCAGAGCTAGAAAACATCCAACACATCACATCAACTCCCATGTGTCTTCTGTCTCCATGCAATCATCAAACATGATGCCAAACCACTTCCCACTTCACTTCCCAGGTCAGGTTCCAACAGATCCATTATATGGGCAGGGTCAAAATCATTCTTGTCAGCACCCACCACCGGACGCTGTGACTCCATCGAAAAGACAAGTCGACGAAGATGACGATGATATCCAGTTCATCTCCGAGAAGCCTGTTAAGAAACCTCGTCCCAATGAGAAGCGACCTACAGCGCCTGTGGCCGAAAAATCAATGAACCCTTCTGCTGCTGCTATTGATGCTGCTGCTATTGATGCTGCTGCTATTGATGCTGCTGCTGCTGGTCCTACCGTTGTTCCAAGTATTCCTACAATGGCAATGCAAACGCCTGACAGTGACTTGAAGGATACAGAACGACGGTTGAGTACAGGAATGGTTGGCCTACCACACGACATGCACGCAGTGGAACTTACTTATGCCCTGAGGGGTGTGTCCATGCCAGTACTAGAGAACTTTGTGCTTGACCAGCCTTTACGTAAGCCTCGGTTGGCGAGTCCTCCCGAACTATCTCCAAAGCAGCTTCCATCCACAGTGCCTCCGGCAATGCTTGAAGGCACACGTGATCACAGTGCCCCTGAAGCATTCGGGTTTGAGAAACTCTCAGTCTCTCATATGAGTTGTGCAAGCTCAAGTCATACTCCTTGGGAAGCTGGGACACCACTAATGACGTCGGATTTGACCAAGAATCCAGTTGACACTCAGCGAACTCATGCTTTAGAGACATCTATACACCCGGGAAGTGGTGTTAATCTAACCTCTTCCAATCATAATATGAAGATTGGTTCAAATAGCATACCAACACCCGCTCCCGGTCCTTTAACACATTTCGAAGCTGCTCATCGCGCAAGATGTTCGAGGAGTAATCCGGATTGGTTAGAAGGCCATCATCACATCAATTCAACCCACCCTCAGAAGCATCCATGTCAAGTCTGCTCCCAGTTGAGACATCAGGCTCAACTTTCACGAGCGCAGGGTGTACCGATAGTAAATACAAACCTCCCGCCTCGCCTTATGTCGCAGCTGCAATACCACACGCACCCATATCCCCAAATGATGCCAATCTCCATGAGTGGTAACGTGCACCGATTCGGGACGAACTTTGCTCCGGTAATGATGCCAGCCAACAATAACACCTTCGTCTCTCTACCTTCTCACCCGCAACCTCAGTATCTGTCACAACAGATGACTCCCACGCAGCAAATGAGAGCCGAGAAAGACAACCAGCCTACGTCTAAACGGCCTAGTAAAACACACATACCCCAGGCAAGCCAAGTGAAGAACACCGTATCTAGTTCCAATGCTGCCTCTAGTCCTTTGAAACCACCTCCCTCTCTCATTCAACCCACATATCGCAAACCTTCGCCCAATTTGATAGTGGATGTGGCCGAGACATGCCAAGAGAAGTTTCCATTCGAAGAGGTTGCGAAAAGACATAATGTGCCTGTAGATAGGGTATTCGATGTCTTTGCCGCCATTATCCAGGTACGCCTATTCTCTGGAGTCTTTCACCCCCCTTTTAACATGTCTGAGGAGCGCGATTTACTTAATCATGAGGTTTCTACTTTTATTACTACCACATACTCTCATCACACATTTGATTTGTTGCCATGAATAGATATAACTGACTAGACTCTTGTATAGGTGCCTCTCCTACGGTGTCCGACGGACCGCCGAAGAGCTGGGAGGTTAGCTACAGCGCGAATTAAGGAATACAACAAAGCGAAAAAGGACATTGAAGATTCCGCAGCTGGAAAGACCGAGGGTCAAACGCCAGTAGTTACGGTGATTCCCACGAATATCGCACAGAGGTTAGGACCTGTTGAGCTTCCAGGAGGGTTTGTAATGGATGGGAGGACCGGGAGTTCAGCACATTCATGAAGCAGCAAAGCGACGGCACACATACTATGACTAGTCTCAGGAATCTAATGAATTGAAATAATCGGGGAAGTAGCCCGATGTCTACGCTCCTAAGTCTGTAATTTAACCTACCGTGTGGTGAGGGTACGATCGAGAGTAAGGTTACACTTACTTACTTATCCCTTAGCATTATTCATAGGCAATTTTTTGCCAAATGTCAATATCTTCTTCGCCATCGGCAATTCTTTCCCAAATGTCAATATCAGCTTGGCTATCAAATCGCTCAATTGGACGGAACCCAATTGCTTTTGCTCTCGCTTTGAACGACTTGGGCGATGGAGAAGCAGTGGAAGAAGAGGAGATATGGGATAACGACGAGGGGGAGGAGGGTAATGATAATGAGGGCTCCCCTTCCTGAGGATGCGTCTCCTTGGTCTCGGTCTTCGAAATCTGTCGCCATTGACTTACCTCTTGTTGTTCTGCATCAGTCATTGCGTGCTTGGAAGGCTGTCTATGATTCTCGAAATGTTCGCTCTTCCTCCCTCGTTCCTTTCTGGGTGTTCGCGGTGTCGTGGGCCGGGGGGATCCCATTCCCGTTAGTTGAGCGGGGGGAGTCGAAATCAGAGGCAGCTGCTCTCTTTCAATTCCCTTCGCCTTCCTTTCCTCTTGCCTCGCTTTCCGCTTCGCCTGTTGCTTTTCGCGATTCTCTCGTAGCTTGACTAACAAGCCCGGGTCGACCTCATTCAACTGTCTGCGGTATGTGAGCAGAGCCCAATGTCCATTGATAAATTTGTACTCTTTCTGTATGACTTCTTTCCCGTCCCGGGAAAGACACGCTTTATCAGGTTTGTCGTCGCCAGATTCTGAGTCTGAGTTGGTCTCCCACGGTGCCTTTCGGGTTCGCTGGCCCCTCCCTAAGTCTTGGTTACGGCTTGAGTTCAAGGTTAACTCTTTCCCACGCTCGGCGAAGTTGCGCACTTTGATATCGCGCTCTTCGTAATCGTCACCTTTCAGCTGCGACAATAGCTCGGCAGCGCGGATCTTTTGCTTTTCATTAAACATTATGGATTGTCAGATTTATTAGAAGGTGACAAATGTATGTTCGTTTTTGTTTCTTGAGGTGTACTTGGAGAAGCAATGAAGGTGAACGGAGGAGTTACGCTGTTAGTGGTCACAAATCTGGAGCGTCTATATCCGATGTGCCTGACGAACAATTTATAGAAATAAGGCATTATTTTTATGTTGACCGGTGTATTGAAAACTCTTCCGGTGTCTGTTTCACGTGTGGCCTTTTAAAAGATCTCTTTGTGGTCAAGTGCCAAAGAAAGGCGTCGTTTGTCAATATAAGCCAGGGACTTGGTTCATGTAGAAGACTATAGTACTTAATTATAAAACAGTGGGTTTGTTATTGGTAAGACTTGAACAAGGTATTTATTCTCGCCTTCAGTTGTTTGATTCTTTAATGTATGACTAACAGGTTCGGTTTCCTTTGTAATCAGCAACAAGTTCATTCTTGGTGGGTCTACAGATCCCGCCTTTTCATCCATAGGGCCGACTTTCGCATATCACAACAAATCTAGTTATGCTTGGTAGGTGTAAAAAACAAGTATCAACTGGTTGCTGGGCGTGCAGTTAGAAAAATTGTATGTATCAACCAGAATTCTGGCGTAGACTAGAAATTGCAGCTGCACCTTAGCTTTATAGATCTGGTTTTAACCCCTCACTAGAGCCGTTTCATCTAATTGGTTAATTCTCGATTGGTCTAGTGGTAAGGATACCTGCTTGTCATTGCCTTCATATAACCGGAGTACCAAATCGCAGGTGGCCGGGGTTCGATTCCCCGATCGAGAGATAAATAGTTTTTTATTTTCTTTTTTAGTTACATCTACAGTTGTCATACCTTGCTTGTTGTTAATATCGAACGACGAATAAGTAGTGGTAGATTGAAAGGTGGGTTTTCTTTACTGAAAGATTCTGATTTTCTTGGAAAGTTGTAGGTGACCTGAATAAGACACCTCTACGGTCCTAGTAAGGCAATAGATAGGCGTTAGTTACAAGCGAGGTCTCTCAAATAGTCCATTTACCCCTTGGACCGACTGGTAGTTGAGCAGCCAAATGTTGTTTGTTTCTAAAGCATCGTAGTCAGACAATACTAAAGGGATGAACGAGCGAACACACGTTACGCAATATAGGAGGTTATTTTCTACGAAGATTTGATGTTAGTTGGCGTTCATGCTATCAATTCATATAGTGGCTGACGTATCGTTGATTCATCGCTAGTTTAATGGCTCGAGTATATTCGATAATCACGCCAAACTCGCGTTTGGACTGCCTAGTCTTTCTTCTTGGGTTCTTTTTGCCTACGATACAAAACTTCGTGCTGTTAAGAAGAAGACTATCATGAGCATTGTTTTAGTATGTAGAACCCAGCTTTAAAAGCCCTGCTTAGTCCAAAATCACCGATCCTCATTCAATATTTCCTGGACCATGAATTAAGAACACTAATAGAATGGCGATACCAAGGAATCACATAACTTCCAGAGTCTCTCACCGCTATTATCTCTCTTGTCGATATCGTCTTAGACAATTGGTTGTATAAGGCTTTCCAATATCCCCATACGGCACAACGAAGCACCCATTAAACTATGAAAAGCCGCCAGAATTACCGGAGCATGCCGGGCGATATTTGTCCTGATCGTGCCGGGGTTAAACCTGCATGTCCTGAACATGGGATATCGAAGCGCCATATGTGTGGCGGGGATCGTATTAGCAGCCTAAGGTTCTTTGCATATACCGTCATGTTCTCTCATCAAATCCCGAATAGTTATGGCCGTTCAAGCCCCAGTCATGCCATACTATACCGTCCTCGAGATACCCCTTTCTAAAAATATGGGTTTCTCTATCACGAGCCCTTTATAAACGAAGCCATTATGGACTAAGTATGACTGCGAGTATGATGTTATGATAGTCGATTAATGTCGGCGTGCAATACCAAGATATATAGATATTCAGACCTTTCGGATACCTCCGTTGTAGCCGGGATGTAATTTTTTCGTCTCTAGCTTGTATCCCTGAAAAGTCGCCGGCTTAACAAACGTGGCAGTTGTTCCCGCTAGTTCCGTATCATGGGGGTATGTCACACAATTATATTAAGGTGCCAGTGATGGTATAGACCAAGGCGCCGACACAGTAATCATTCACCGTGCTGCTTCTATCAGTGTTACAAGAGTCTCTCTCTCTCTCTCTCTCTCTCTGGCTGACCATGCTGTCGTCGTGGTTTGTACACATAAACTAAAATGCGCAACTGTACTAGATGAACAGAGCTAGCTTAATAGGGCACTCGCACACTAAATTCCTGTGAGAACTTAACTTCTAGTTTATCGATCTTAGCTCGCGCCTGGATGAATGCGAAGATCGAAAAGAAGGGGCTGCCCAGGGTAGTAGTACGAAGAAGTAAATATCGGGGTTCCAAGGAGATAGGTAGTATGTGAAGTGCCATGCGCTGGTTTGTTAACGGACCAATCTAGGTTCGTAAGGTACCTAATGTAGGTAGGTATTTCAATACCTACCAGGTAGGTTGGGTGCATTAGGGGCAGCAAACTGTCATTAATCATCACGTGCAAACATTTGCTACCCCTCTTCGGCTTTTCTTATCAGCTATCAGTGTTTGTATAGATAGTGGGGTATTGAGAGCCCAAGCTGAGACTTTCTAGAGCGTCACCGAGAAAGGAGGGGAGCGCAATCAACCTTTTTATAAGCTGCGAGACAAAATATCCAGTCTCTCTAGAACGTTCTTTGGTTTAGCTATAACCAAGATGAGACTCAAGGATGAGCACCGGATAGAATTGCCGCCAGCGGCGGACATGCATGTCCACTTGCGACAAGGCCGGGTCTGTGGTATTATGTTTCGGGTGCACTCTGTATCATTTAAACTGACTCCTTACAGGTCATGGACTTGGTGGTCCCCTACATTCGAAGGGGAGGAGTAGACACCGTATTTGTCATGGCATGTGAAACTAAAAGGCCATTCGATCTCCTAACAGTCAAAGCTAACTCTGGTTAACAGCCAAACCTGCAACCACCCGTCACTAGTGTGGCCGCTGCTTTGGAGTACAAGTCTCAACTACAGGCTATTGAGCCCCAAGTCAACTATTTGATGTCTCTATACGTGCGTTTTCCGTAGCATGATTTGAGGGTCACCACGGGCTAATGGTGATCAGCTTCACCCTTCCGTTACTCCTGATGTGATTGCTGAGGCTGCGAAGGCTGGCATTGCAGGGGTCAAGCTGTATCCCCAAGGTATGGAGTAATCATATGTTGATCGCCACATTAATTCCATGATGGTTAATATCAAGCTAGGTGTCACTACAAACTCTGAATCGGGAGTCGCTGGTGACTTTGTTGAAGTTTACGCGCCAACTTTTACAGCTATGGAGGAACACGATATCGTGCTGAACTTACATGGTGAAGTACCTGGAACTGTGCCAACAGGTGTGTCGCTTGAAGAACTATTTCTACCCACTTTGAAGAGACTGAACGAGAAATATCCGAAACTTCGTATCGTTCTCGAGGTGTGTATCAATCCTGAATAGCTTTTCGACACCGTTCTAAAGTTAATTCCCCCCCCTAGCACTGTTCGACTGCAGCAGCCGTGGATGCAGTGCGAGCTTGTAGCTCAACAGTCGCTGGTAAGCTCATCGTCCAATTCCCCGACTTAGAAGCAGTTCTGTACTGTTTTTGATAAGGCCTAATGTATGTGGCTATTCAGGTACCATAACGGCGCACCACTTGTATTTAACAGGCGACATAAGCGAGGTAGACCCTCACGCCTTTTGCAAGCCGATCCCGAAGACACCCTCGGATCGGGATGCTCTGCTGAAAGCTGTTTGCAGTGGTGACACCAAATTCTTCTTGTTAGTACACTGATTCTATGCACCTAAATCACCTATTGATTTAACATGATGAATCTTCCAGTGGGAGCGACAGTGCGCCCCATCCCTTAGTAAATAAGCAAGGCAACCCCGTCCCGGCAGGTGTATTCACGCAGCCGTACGCGGCACAGCTTGTCCTACTAGCCCTAGAGGAAGCAACCGAGAAAGGAATAATTGACGAGAAGGATGTCACACAAAAGAACATTGAGGGATTCTTGAGCCTTAATGGAAGACGGTTCTACAAGCTACCGGAGCCTTCGCCTACGGGACCACGGGTCATAATGAAGAGAACAGGTGAAATGATACCACCAAGCATTCGGAGCGCCGACGGAACCCTCGAGGTTGGCATTTCAAGATCTGGCGCCACTGTATACAGCATGTATCTCACGTCTGGATAGGCTACGATTTTATATTAACGATGGAAAATAAAAACACCACACTTAGACATGAGAGTATTGGAATGGTGAGGACGAGCGGTAGGGGCCGTGAACGACGTCATTTTACAGAGGAACTTCACCCCACCTTGCAACCCTGGCCGCAGTAGCTTGCATTAGCCCAGCACGCTACCAGGTATCTTATCATCAAGCTGCGTAGATACCTGAATTGAAACATCAAACCAATCTTAATACTCCGTACAAGACCTATCTAGAACGACCAATACCGACAAGAGCAGATGAAAAAGGGAGCCTGAATCACTTATTCCGGGCAGCAAGCAACGATTTCCGCCATGGCGCACATGACGAACCCGCTCGCGACAGTGGACCAGCTATACAAGCGCACGACTTCGTTCGGCGCGCTGCCGTCGGATCTGCAAGACGCGATCTTCTTCGCGACGCAGACCCTGACGCAAGCCGCGGGCCTCCTCCTCCGCCTCCCGCAGTCCGTGACGGCGCAAGCAAACGTCGTGTTAGCCAGGTACTGGCTCGAAGAGCCGCTCCTCGCCAATGAGTTCAGCGTAAGCTTTGCTAACCCTTATCACCGCATGCCATCACATCTATCATTCATTCATTCATTCATTCACAGCGGAAGAGAAAAGTGTAAAAGAACAGAGAAGCGAAAAAAAAAAAAAGACGAGCTAACCATGGCAAGCAGGATGTCTCAGCAGCCTCCCTCTTCCTCGTGTCAAAACTAAGCGGCCACCCAAGCCGTCCACGCGACGTAATGAACGTCTACGCGTACCTCCTCTCGCCAGCATCAGCGCTCTTCCGCCCTCCCTCCTCTTCCTCTTCCTCTTCCTCTTTCTCTTCCTCCACAGAGGCTCCAGACCCATCGACCTACTACCTCTCCGAAAGCAGCTACGACGCCGCGCGGCGGCGCATGCTGTCCCTCGAGGCGCGCATCCTGTACAAGCTGGGCTTCGACACACACGTGGCGCTGCCGCACGGGCTGGCCGTGACGTACCTGCAGGCGCTCGATTTCTGCGGCGACGCCTCGCGGGCGCGCGTCACGCGGCGCGTCGTCGCGTACCTGAACACGGCCCTCCTGTCGCCGCAGATGCTCTACCTGACGCACCAGCCCCACGCGCTGGCCGTCGCGGCCATCTACAGCGCCGCGCGGGACGCCGAGGTCGGCGCCAGGATGCCCGAGTGTCCGTGGTGGGAGGTGTTTGACGTGGACCGCGAGGAGCTGGGGTTCCTGGTCGTCGGGATGCGGAGCGTGGAGGGCATCGTGCGGAAGCTGAGGGAGGATTTCGAGGGGTTTGCGGGGGGTCGCATGATCACGAGGGGGGATGTCGATGTGGAGATGACGAGGCGCGGGCTGAAGGTTAAGAATGGTGTAGGTGCTGGGGTGGGTGAGATGGATGAAGAGGAAGCTATGATGCGGAGCTTGGACGAGAGGGCTGAGAGGATGGGGGCGTGAATCACATGCATGCATGGCGGTCAACAGAGGACGAGATGAAGAGATAATAACTATTTGCTA